GACAGAAAAACACAAACTTTCCATTGCTCCCTTCTTTTCAGTGTTTCTGATCATGTGCCCCTTTCTGCCACTCTATATGGGCCAGTGAAATTAGTCATTGAAGGTCCCATCTGTTGTGTTTACGACTCATTTGTTTACTCACTGGTTCACATCAGAGCTTACTGAGGCCAGGGGGGATTCCTTCAGTGTGGGACAAGGTCTGGGCTCTAGGGTCAACTGAGCTCAGTGATTCATCATATTTCTCACTAAGTAGCTGTGATGAACACAGATTCCTTTCATTTCCATCTGTGATGAAAAGCAAAGTAGTGGAAAAATGTCACTAAAGAGCCAACGGAACAAAGACAGAACTAACCAACAGTTGGTTGGTCAGGTCAGCCAACGATTTCACTACTCATAGATTTAGATAATTTTCAAGAAAAAACAAACAAGTGCTCATCGTCCGGACGCAGTTTGGTAAAAAATGGTTTGTTGGTGCTTGCTGCCCATGGGGAAATAGCTGTGAGCATGAACATGGGTTGATAGAACAGGTGGTGATGTTAGGTAAGACTGCAATAAATTCACATTATGCAGATGAGCAGTAAAGACAGCAGAGGCAGCTGGAGACATTCACAATCAAAACTTTGCTGAAACTCAGTGTTGTCCACCAACACTTTTAAATATATGCCAGACTGGGAATTAGCTCTTAGTCTAAGCTAATTTCCCCAGGCTTGCCTATCCATCCCTTCATTCATTTTTATACCCACTTATACTAATTCTGGATAACAGGAACCTTGTGCTATCCGTATATTTTGCTATGTAATTCAATCTTCATATATCAGTTCTTTGCTATCAGTGATGACATATACAAAAGTGAAAGATGTTTTCAATTTCAGGCATAATAGCTATCTTAGACTATTACACAGAAATAAATGCAAAAGTGTTTTGTGTATAGTGTATCGGTACAAAATAATGATTTGTTTTTTGGTATCCCAATCAGTTAACCTCCCTCTATATGTAGCTCTAGTTTTTCATGTGTCATTTCCCAGCTTGTCTTGTTCTCACCAGAGTTTTTCAGGCATTATTCTGTGTATCTTGTTTTATGGGTTGCAGATGAACAGTTAATTTTGCTTAGGAATGTAACTCAAATAAAAGATATGGAAGTATTTGCATGACATTGGAAAGAACAGCTGGTCAAATCTTCTACATTTTTAGGAAATACTCCCTTCAGTGCTTCCCTTGTTGCCTTCCTTATCACTGGACCATCTTTTATGGAAGGAAAAAAGATAATACTGTTCCACAATTCAAAGCACTTTTCATGAAAACTAAAAATCAACTTCACCAGCAAGTCATACAAATCATGTAAATTTTGTTAATAGTGGGGTTTTCATTTTATGCTATTAATAGCTGATATATTTTGAACCTTCAGTGGCAGGTTAGCTATGAACATTAAGCTTTTATTATAAAATCTACGAATTACAAACATTAAGCTTCAACAATAAAATCTGCTCGGTATAAAGTTGTTGCCTCATGTGAAAAAATATTCTTAAAAAACAGGCTCTGTATAAATATGACCTATATTAAAATGCATGAATATTCAAAGTGAATATAAGGTTTAACATAATTCAGTTAACACTAGTTATGTCTGCAGCGTTGCTGTATTAGTATGTTAATAGACTTTGGTATTATTATTAATTAGTTTTAGTCCAATTATTACTCCCTTCCCAAAGCTCATGACCATAACTGAGTTCAGGTGTAGATTGATTGATAAATTGACAGTTTTGCTTTCATGCTAATCTCTTTACCAAAATAGACCAGCTCCAGTGCGCACCCTATAACTGGAACATACCCTCTGTTCTCACTTCTTAAACATGGGAAACACAATCCCATGGATGTTGCAAAACCATTCCAATCCAATTCCAAGACAACCCAACAAAATCCAGGGCCTTAAGGAACTAATTATGAATTTTATCTTCCCCAGGGCCTATGGAGTTGTTTAACTACCTCAGTGTCCTCACCTCTAGTGATGGGCACATCATCCCCCTCGACCCTAGGCTCTGCTTCTTCTATGTAAGGCGTGCCAGCGGGAACTGTAGCTCAGGTGGTGGAGCAGATCACCTATTAATTATAAGGCTGGTGGTTCAATCCCAGTCTACATGCCAAATATCCTTGGGCAAGATACTAACCCTCCACAACCCAGTTGGGTCATTTGAGCCATTTCGACGGCAGACCCATGTCAATAACATTACTACAGAGTGTAGTGTAAGTACAGCAGTGTGGTTCAATTCCTTATGAATTCTCCTTTATATCAATGCATAACATGATGAATGATTAGGAAAAGACATGCAAGGTAATTTTGGGGGGCTGTTATGGACCGTCTAGGGGTGGCCAGACCATAACATAAGGGTGATCCATCCCCGTCCGACCCCAAGAAGCACATCACACAATTAGTACAGTTTGATGGTGACTTATTTACAATGAGTGGATTTAAAACAGGGAAAGGAGCAGACTATAACTTTAGGGTGTACCTAACAGCAGAACAGCAAACAAAAAGGAGCCTATCTCAAGGATAAATCAAACTTGCCTACTCAAAAGAATTAAACCAAATGACAGCAACTTACCTCCCTAACTAACAAAAACTTAAGAAAACTGTAATTAAACAAAAAGGCAGTCCTACATGCTCCTGTGTAAAACAAACATCACTAGACAGGTAACAAAGTCTGCGGGTTGGGATGGGCCGAGGATGAATGGCTGGCCGTCCATGGCGGTGTCATCAAATACGTTGCCAGTCCGCAGGAACTGACATTAAGACAGTCGTAACAGGGGCTGTTTGACTATAGTCTTGATGTTTGTTTTTTTCATTGTCCTTTTGCATAAAACATCTGACCTATTATTTATATATTTATTATTATTAGTATTATTATTATTACTATAGTTCTGTTATCATAATGAATATCTTAAAAAAACAAACACTATCAGCAGCATTTGTTTGTTATGATGACTGACACCTGTGTGTGTGTGTGTGTGTGTGTGTGTGTGTGTGTGTGTGTGTGTGTGTGTGTGTGTGTGTGTGTGTGTGTGTATCTCAGTAATAGTCTTTTTTTAACTGCACTGTGTGGTAGTTTTGGTTTGTTTCACTAGGGGTTATGTACGGAACTATTTATTAAAGGTCGTCTACAGAGCAAATAGGCATACAATGTCAAAGTACATTTGTAAAATGGATTCAGACTATAGAGCATAGCCTATTAAGTATTTTTCAGGAACCATGTGTGAGGTATTCATTAATTAGGACTAAGCAGCAACGTTTCTGGTTTGTTGTGTTTCTGTAATTACTTAGGATTTTATGCATACCTTCTTGTTAAGCATTGCCAATTATTTTACCAGGAAATGTCAGTGTCTTGCAGAAAGTTAACAGCCCTTCCTCCTTGTTAGACATTTGAGCCAACTTTGTCTCAGATGTTGTTATAAAATATTGACAAGATGTCATGCAGCATTTTCACTGATGCTGAGTTATACTGTGCTTGTCATTCTGACTGGCCATGTAGAAATGATCTTGTGATTATGGTGCAATGTCAGGAAATAGAGTCTATTGTCTATTCTTGGAAGTCTTCTTTCTGCACTTTTCTCTATTTCCACTTTATTAAGTAATATTTGTATGGAAGAAGAAAACAATTTAAACACCATAGCCAACTCATCGGCCTTCAAACTAATTAAGCCTATAAACAGCTAACTTAATTTTACCGTTTCCGGTTCGCCAACTTTTGGCTGACCCAGGCAATTAAAATTGTGTAAATGTTAGGTGTCAGGTGTTACGACAAACTGCATGTAAGGATTTTACAAAGATAAAAAAAAATTTAAAACTCTTCCTACTTTCTCATTCAGAATGACTTTTTTTACTATTTATAATTTACAATATAGTTTTGCACACTTCCCCCGAAGTTTCCTCTTAATTTTAACATTATCTTAAAATTGAGGATATGATTAGAGATGTTGAAGTTAATGTGCATTGGCCTAGTTATCTATTTTGTGCACTGTGAGCCACTAATCTCTCAGTTTGCTGTCAAAAGATAAAAACAAACCAAAACATAATACTCTTGGATGGCTCAAAGCCACCATACTGTCACTTTATCTATTGGCATACAAATCCTGATTAGAGCTTAAGTGACGCCTAGAATGCGGCAACAATCCAATCTAGCCTTTGTTCTACAGAAAAACAAAACTTTTCAAAGTCACACCCCTGAAAATTGATGTTCTGTATGTATTTAAACAAAACCTGTCACAGTGTAAGTAGTCATTATTTGAAAAACCCTGGGCTGTTGTGCCAATGGCCACAGCCAAGACACAAACTTGGGTCCAAAATGGTAGAAACAAGAGCCCAAAGAAGCCAGTTATGTATGCCACACATCACATCTTGCATAATACAATGTCGACATTCATTATATAAAGTAAATTAGTCTATGCTGATGTTATTACATTCTTGTGTGCTTTTGATGTAGAGAGAACTGTTGCTGTGCTTAGAGCTTTGCTGACCTAGAACTTGGGTAGAATTTTTCACTTCTTAATGTGTCCTCTGAATCTACTCATGCTAACCAGAAAAACTCCACTACCCTATAAGAAGGGATTTATTGGCAAATGTATACTCAAAGGCGCATCTTACATCAAAAGTAGACTTGATTCTTAATTAAACTGATAGAACACAGCAACGGTGACACCTCTGCGGTGCTCTGCCTCAGTAAAACTGAACAGCCACTAAAGTTTCTTCTGAGTAATGATTAATGCATCCAATTTCTGTGATCTGTATTGAGCGTAGCATCATGGGTAATTAAATGATGGTCTACAGAGCACCGACTGCTCTCATAAAATGACAAGGCCATAATCATCATGAAGCTTGGTTACCCTCTGACTCAAATACTAATTGCGCATCAATAACCAAGCAGAATATGTCACCAAATTAAAACCTCAAACAACTCAAGCTGTACAAACAGTTCAAAGCTATAGCATTTCCGTCAAGGACATCAAAAATATGCATGACTTCACATACTTTATATTCACATATTTAGCAATTTCACAAGCATATTTGGTAAGATGCAAATTCAACAAATACATTCTGAGTTAAACATATTTACATTGTCAAAAATCAGAATTGCACACAGTTGTCTAATGTAATAGATAGTGCTCCAACATGCTAGGAGGTATCTTTGTTGTAAGAGGTCCAGTCTGTCAGACAGACCAGAAAAACAGATATCAATGCCAGATTCAGGGGGCTTTCAGCCTCTTGAGACCAGATTTAGCTTGCTTTATAGACACCCCAAATGGATAAGGGCATGCTGTAGATCAGTCAAAATGGAGAAACAAGACAAAGTGCCCACATCAACAAGCCACAAACAACGAGAAAGAGCCTCAACAATTCCAATATAACAGAGACCCAGATTTAAACGTTCACTTCTCCACCAGCATGGCATCAGTACTCGGCCTATTAACCATAGAAACAGAACCACAATCACAGGAAGGGAAGAAAACTATTAATAGGTAGGAAACTATAACGGAGATACACTTCAGTGATAAAGCCAAGAAAATACTTAATCAACCTTTTAAGACTAATAGGATGAAATTATTGTTGATATTATTGTATTTGCTTTACAGTTACAAAGCTCATCATCAAAAAGATTGATCAAGAATTAAAAACTATATGTTTAACAATTACTTATGAGACTGAGCAGACAGATGGTTAAGAGATCTGGGATTGATCTGAATTAAGTTAAGAGTTGGATTTAAAATCAAGATTTGGACATGAATTGACCAAAATTGGGGAAACTTTCAGTCTGAGTATAGAACACATACTGTGGGCAAAAATATAACTTCTCCTAGTGAATATAATAACAAGGATGAAGAAGAGAGATGTGCTTTGATGAGGCAGTTATACTTCTTCATGACACATAAACTTGTATTGTTTTAAAAATGTCAGTGCAACCTCAAAAACAAACATACAGTACTGAGAAGCACATATACAGTAGATATACCTATATAGTTTACTTTGCTAACATTTATATCAAGCATGTTATTCTTATGATTCCCGTTCTCCTTGAAAATAAATAGAGCAATAAAAAAAGATGCCCAGCCCAGTCTTGTTGACATTTTAGGAAGTCCTTCTGGAGCAGTAAAGTTGCCCATATGATGGATATTAGAGCTCTACAGACAGTGGGAAAACAAAATGAGAAATGCTTATGGATGTAGAGGTGCAGAACAGAAGGAGTGAATGGAGTGAAGGTGGATAAAATCCTGCAAGAGCAGAATGCTGAAAAACACTAGTAGGAAAAAGAAAAACTAGTGACCTATGTAAATAGTCCATCAGTAAAAAAAAACAAACAAACTTCAAAATATAGATTAAAACAAGAGATGTGCTTAAAAAAGACAGCACAGGCAGCTATGATGATGGACACTAACTAAAGAACCAGATAAAGAAACCCTCAATAATCTTTACTAAATCTTTTGTTCTTTTCAGTACACTGGTTTGTAAAGAAGCTCTCCAGAGGCAAGTCTCCGTTTCAGCTCTTTCCAAAGCAGTTCCCTCTCCTTCTGGGCCCCCTTCATGAAGCCTCGGTTCTCCTGTGCTCTCCGAGACAGGTAGGGCATTACCTCATTCACTGGTCCATAGGGAACATACTTATAGACAGGGAAGCCTGCCTGGCCTGGAGTGAAACAAAAGAAAATGGGATTGATAAATGTAGACAAAAACTATTTCTCTCTTTATTTGTCAATATTATGAAATTCCTTTTCATAAAATATCATTTTGACTGACTAGTTTAAATGACAGGAGAGTATACTTTTTACAGATTATATTGGACAAACTCTATAGAACCACAGCATGAGCATCACCTTGATTGGTTTCTCTCACTGAATGTTTGCTACGATCTGTGTAATCAGACGAGACTGCAGTATTTGCACTGACATCCTCAGTTTACAGCATTTCTATTTGAAGATTTCCTCTCGTCTGTCAGTTAGGCTCGCACACTGTGAAACTGCTTTGCCAGGGCTTAACTCTTTAGCTCTGTCGAAATAAATGTTGTTTTAACTAATCCATCCAAAACATTATAACATGATACAATAAACTCTGCCCTGACAAGCACACCCTGAGTAACAGCTTATCTGAAAACTGAATTATAAAAACTAACTAAGGTACATTTGGTGCAGTAAGTGATGGACAAATAATATGGGTCTCAGCTCCAGTCTGCTTTATTTTATGAAACAACTTCTTTATTGTTTCAGGATTCAAAAGCAGTGCTGGCAGCTCCATCCCTCAAAAAAGCAACAAAGAAACACATGCCTGTCTCTTTACATCAATACTGGTCAAGGCCATGTCAGCTTCAGCCTCACATTGACAGACAACTGCCTGCCACCACTATGTCTAGCTTTGACTGACAAACAAAGCGCTGAGATCCAGCAGAGGCACTTCGTTAAGAGGACTGTTCAATACTGAGGTGTCTTGGCTCATATGTCATGCAGAATTGGCTTCTACATGTGCACTCCTTGGGGCCTGTGAGGTACGTTTGTGCAACTTAAAGGTCTTATGACAGAGTTGAAAGCATCACAGGGTGTATGGCCTGTCTGGCTGGCACTGTCAAAATTATTCTTACTATTTATGACAAGACAGATTGGTACCTAGACATTGCATGGTTGTGTATTTCTGCTTCTGTACTTTTCTTACCCAGTGGGAAGCTGATTTGATCACACATGCCCAGTAGCTGACCAAAGTATACCTTGTTTTCTGTGGGAATGAGACCCAGCTCATTCATTCTGATTGAGAGAGGATAAAAATATAAGCATGTTTATACAGATGCAATTTTGTATGAAAGAATTATAGTTTTAAGTTTCAAGTTACTGGATACAGCATAAAATTTGCCTTGTTAAGGTGTGTTTCACTGTGTCTTCATTGTGGGAAGCCACCATTACATTTGCTTTTCTGTTGAGTGCAATCTCATCCAACACATAGTCCAAACACCTTGCACAAATACATGACACACAACAGGGACAATTTAGGTAGTCATAATAATGGGTTTGTTTGTCTTTCAAGTAGGAATTAGTAACTTCTTTTATATTGTTCACTATAAAATATGCATTTTTATTCTATTGTGCTTACACTGTTTCATGGCACATTGAAATAAATCAATTTCATCAGCAGATCACATTTATTGTAAGGTGTGGGACTACTTTTACAAACCTATACTCCATAAAAAATCTCTATAAACATCAAGTATTCACAGTATGTAAACAGAAATCTGGCCCTGTTCATTTGTTTCTCTGTTAGTAAGGCTATATTAATACACATATTCATAATCACCATCTGCATGTTCTGAATCCACCTCATGTTATACTGTATCCAATTAAGCATCCTGAGTTTTTTCTTCATTGATTACATTATTCCATCAAAATCTTCTCAAACTCTTGAGACGAAAGCTTGTTGCCATAAGAACAAGACTGCAGTAACTTCAAATAAAAGACTCTGTCCTCTGTGGTGTTAACCGGTGCCTAAAAGGTTGACAGTTTAATTCTGTTATTTTAAAAAAACGAAAAAACAAAAAAAACTACAGTAAGCAGACTGTTCCTCTCTGAATATGATAAATGAGAGCTTGGCTAACAGCAATCAAACTCTACATGTGTAGATTTATGCAGAACAAACAGACTGACAAGCCTTGGCTCTTACCTGTGGTACATCCTATTGGTTGACTCATAGTCAGGGTTAATAGGGTCTTCATATCCAATCTCTTTGGCCCTTTCTCGCTCCTGATACATGTAGGCCCCACGCACCAGCTTGGCAGCAAAGTGCCAACCCTCACGTCGAGACAATTCTACATCCATAGTTACATTGTCATAGGCCTCCTGCAGAACAAAAAGGAGGAGCACCGAATCATGAAAATCAAGTCCTCTAAGTTTAGGTACCAGTTTTAAAACATGTTTTATATACAGAGCTGACCGCATTTCCATGTTTATTACAAGTAGAAATGTGCAATGATATACCTGCTTTATTTTTACAGAAGGATTAGTCAACTTAATCTGGGTTACCTGTCCTATCTACCTTTACATAATAAATAAAATGACGTGTAAAAAAAACAAAAAAAGAACTATGGAAGACAAACTCTGTAAAACAAAACAACTGTCCGATGTGGAGATGATGTATAGCACCACAGCATATCAGCACAATGGCAGGGCCGAGGGTGATGATTTGGGCTTGGTTTGCAGCCACAGGACCTGGACACCTTGTATTCTACGTATGCGGAAGGATTTTAGATATGAGCTCATTAGTTAGCTTGGATCCAAAGGACAACAGAAAATATTTTATAAGAATCAAGGTATTAACCTCTCGATCAACTCGAGACCTGTGCCTAAACAAATGCCCACTAGTGAACCAAAGTAACAACCGCATAGTGAAATGTTTAAAAATTCCTCCAAATGATTTGAGAGACTGCAAATTATGCAAATTATTTTCTGCAGAAGTCCTACAGAAAATAATGACTTCAAGTTTTTCCTGTAGGCGGCTCTATAAACTATTGAACTATGAGGAGTATTTGGTTTTTCACAGGATTGCACAAAGCTCTGTGAAAATTTTCTTTTTTCATGACTGTAAATGCCAGCAACATAAAAAATAAAACACTCACAATAAACCTTGTAATTATGTTGTGACCAACAGATAATATTCTAAAAATACAACTATTATGAACCTATTATGAACCTATGCACTTTTGATATCATAATGCTAATAATAATGCTGGGAAAAACACACAAAAAATAAATCGCCATATTTCCACCACTATTGTTTTCTCGTCTTTGTCGCGTCACTCTTTCGAGCCCAGCTTGGCTGACTAATAGAAATCTGTTTACATGCTGGCATTTGGACCTGTCACAGCATGTTTTCTTCGATAAAAATTACAACGGCTGTGTCAATGGATCTCATTAATAAAGAGAGGAATCTCCATCTGTTTTGGTTTTATTTGTTTGGGGTTTTTTAGCTATTTTCAACAACTGTTCATTGGATCTATTTCAAACACACTGAATATATTACTAACCTAAAGAAGCACATTGTCAAAACTTGAGGTTTCTTGTGAGCTGAGAACATGGATTTAATCACTCAGTGACAATAACAATCCTCCCATTCACCACAGAAACATTTTGCATATGCAAGGCATTAGTAGAAGTTTGCAGCTTTGAAGATCTGTTTTTGTGCCCGCTGTAGGCCCGACCTTTAGGTAGCATTGATAGGTGTTGAAAATGACAGGCTTTTCTCCGTTGTAGGTCCTCTGCATCTCCAGTGTTAGTCTGCTAATGGCTGGCTGGAAATAGGTTTGCTCTGCATCCACCATCAAACGAACACCACTCTCTAGGGCATGCTGAAACATGAAAGATCTCATTATTTTGGTGTAATATCATCTAATATCCTAGAGTTTCATTAAAATAGTTTTCAAGGTTGAATTAATGAACATTTTTTATTAAATAAATGAAACAAAAGAATCAGTGATTCTTAACACTGTGACATTAAAACACAGTAATAATAATAATAATCCCTGTAATTTTTTTAATTATTATTATAATTATACCAGTGCAGCTTTTATAGACTATAGTAGCTATATACTTATGGGAATTATATCATATTTACAAGATTTACAAATCTCATTTAACCGATACACATAAAAACATGTTACTAATCGCATATAGTTGATCTATAGGTGTTTATTCATAGTAGTTAAACAGCAAATTGCCTCTAAGTGTGGGCATGTTCATGTATGGTAATCAGTCCTTGTGGCTGGTATGTAATTACCTTCGCCAAGACATCTACACGCTGTAACATCCGCTTCATTTGTTGATCCTCCTCTACAGTGAACTTCCCCAGCAGAGGCTCCAGCTTACCTAGCTATGAAAACAACCCAGGAGAGAATCCACTGTGAGATACTAATAAACCAAATATCACACAGCATGACACCTATTAGTCTTCCCACTTTATGGCTTCTTCTTAACCCAGGGCTAAGTCATTCACCCTAGAAATTCCAATGAATGATGCAGAAAATCTGCAGTTAAAGGTTGCAGACTTTAAAGTAAATAAAACTCCAAATGGCTGTTTACTATTTGCAGTGTAATTGAGCTGATTGTGTTCAAGGTCTGGTTATAGTAAAATAACTTCAGATAAGAACATTTAAACTTCAAAAAGCACTTCATTTTCACTATAGCAGCCAGAGAGCAAATGACCATTTAGTAATGAAATCCTTATTTTAAATGTCATCACAATTAATTACTAATTTTGCTTCAGTTTTTCCAGTTGCTTCTGAAATGAACATATTACAACAGGGAACAAAAATAACTGGATCAATAACAACAGCCTATGGCAGCTACAGTACATTTGAATGAATTGCTTAGAAGTCAGAATTAGCTCAGCAGGCACAGCTGACACTTAAAACTCTCCTGCCTGCTACAACCTGAAAGCATGCCAAACTTGGAGCAGTATTATCTAAGTCAATTGTAGTCTCCAAGGAGTAATGGTAGAAATATATTTTAAAAGTGTTTCTTAATTTTGAAAACTGTTTTCTTTAATCTATTGTATCCCAACAGAAAAATCTCTCTTTTTCAGGATTCTATGCTACTGACCTCTACATTTGGAACAACAAGCAGATCCGATATCTTTGTTCTGTCATCTATTAGGCTGTTCCAGTCAAGCATGTCAATGCATCTGTCAGGAAAAAGGATGGAAAGTATTACAGGAATAGGGTTTTGGTGAAACTATTACCAGTATCTTTTTGTTACCAGAATCTTTTTTGGTTTTTTTGGTTTTTTGTCTTACTGGCCACTTTGTGGATAATTATGTTTTTAAAGTCAAAGACATATTTATAGCTACCCCCTTTTTATTATTAATCATTACTTTTATTACTTGCCGAATTTTGTCAGGTTAGTAGAAAGGAAAGTGATGATTATTTCTTCCATTTTTTAGAAGTAGTAACATATATTAAAGGGATCGTATTTTATAGTATTAAACATTGTATAAAATAAATTATCAAATGCATGAACTAAGAATATCTTCTTTAGTTTAATTTACTTTATGAAATTAATATTAGTTTAAAATTTCCATACAATTTTTTTTCATGAATTACTTCTGCAAAACTGCTTCACAACTAATAAAATATTTCTCTGTGTCAACACGTCTTTTATAACTATTTGAGAAGTCCGGTCTCGCTTACCCTGTCGAGTCCTCTTTCCTTCCTTTAAACCAGCCATAGAAGTCACCATTTGCACCCAGTTTGGTCATGAACTCCTATGAGAATACAGAGATTTAAAGTTCTGCACAACACACACTAAAAACATGTCTTGCATTATCCCAGTTGTGCATTTATGGAAATGTAAAACCTATCTGACATGTTTAGCACATATTACACAAGTATCACCACAATTCATCAATGCGAAAAACATGGAAAAAGAAAAAAAAATACTACCTGCAGTTGTGTAAGCTCCAGCCTCTGCTCTAAGGCCTCCAAGCCATCTTTACCCTGCTGTGACGCTAGGAAGGTGAAAAACCGCCGCCATTTCACCAGCACCTCTGAGAACTGGAGCTTTTGTAGAAAGAAAGTAGTGTCATTCAGCAAAACTAAAAGCTTACACTGACTTTTTCATCGCTCTTTAGTGCCTACCAGAAACTGAGGTCGTCCTAGTGCAGTCATTTTGATGGCAGAAAAACCATCCATTGAACTCCCACCTACAAGTGGCACATAACATTAAAATAAATGAAATGACAAAAAACTAAAGATAACAGTGTGATGGTACGATAGAATGATGTCTGGTGTCATAGACTACAACTTCAATGCAAACACATACAAGTGTGGCTTCTCCTGTGTTTGCCTACCAGACGCTTTGATGCATTTGATAAAGGTTTCCATATGTTGGTCACATTTGGCCTCGTCAGCATAGAAATATGTGCGGGCTCCGGTCACTCCCCCACGGCGGTCGCTGAATTGTTTGTGCGCTTGATATTTTCTCTCTCTGTGGTCCTTGCCTGTGAGTGAAAAACACATTTGCATATCATTACTTTTGATTACATCTCACAGTACAATTTGTCCACAAATGAGGGGGAAAAATAAGGCAGCTTACCTATGTTCTCTTTCTCTGCAGCAGACACACATGAGCTAAAACAGAAGTTATATGAAAGGATAAAAGATCATGGTCATGAATTTAGGCAACTTCAAAAATGTGAGAACTTGCACTTTTTTCTGTGAACATTGTGGTCTTGTGGCAGTGGCATGCTCGAGGCTGCAATTGTGTTTACTGATGCTTTGCTGAATTTCTGCTGCTCACCCTCTGCAGAGGGGAGTTGCAGCATCACTCCACACTTGACCTATTCCCCCCTCATCATAAGGCACAGGGGAGCTCATGTAACCAAACAGATGACTAAACAGTAAGCATGCTGGACATCAGAGACATCAAAAGGCTTCAAAGCCAGGAAAACTAAAGGGAGCCATATTCTTTTAACTTTGCTTGCTTTTGACAGGGACTCTTTTTAAAAGCAAAATCTACAATGGAGTCCATCTGACATGGTCTAAAAGTGTACTATTTTAAATGTTGTGTTTTTCTTTTGTCCTTCCCTTGCATGATAGTGTTTTATATACAATCTGCTTATGCTTAAAAATAAGAGAGAGATTTACTATTTCCTAGAAATTTTTTTGCTGTCGTTCAGATACTATTGATTGATTTTCAGCCCTAAAAAATAAGACGCCAAATCTCCGAAAATTAAATTGAATTAAACAGCTTCAGTGGACAGTGTCGGTGTCAAATAACATTTGTGTTACGCTCTCTGTGTCACATTTGGGATATATTTTATCGCCAGCACAAAACACTGGCACCCAGCTGCTTTAAAAAGCATGCAAGCCTTCAAAAGCGTGCATTTGTCAAATCTAAAATGTAAAACTGGGAATGTATTTTTAGTATAGATGGTCTACACATCTAAAGGCTGTCACTGTAAATATCATGCGTTCAACATCAAGCTAGGATTTGCTTCTGTTCCTTATACAGTATCTTCCTTCTTTTGGAAGAAACTGACTAATGTTGTTGCTATCTTGACATATGACTGGAGAACTTGTCAAACCTGCTGTCTCAGATCAAGCTGGCTTAATGTGCCTTGTCCTACAGTCTCAATGTTTGAAGGTGTATGTTTGGCAAACAATATCTTTCTAGGCTCAGATTTGATACCTCGCTTGATGTTTCTAAGCAGGCATCCCGCCAACACAAAGGATATCAAAGCTGTGCCATGACATCTTGTTACTAGTGATGAGGTCTAAAAAATATATGCAGTTAAAATAAAAGGGAGTTTATAGCAAAGAGCTTACCTAGAAGTTTTATCACTTTACAGAATGTGATAGGATGACAAAAAATTATGTCTGGCTCAAGATGTTATCACTGTCAGCTGTCACTCTATGTCAACAGACTTAACCATAAGATACCTGACTAGAGGTAGCCCCATTTATTCATCACATCTGAGCTTTATAAAACTAGAGAAATTCTGAGAGTTAGAAAAGGTCAGTCTTTTTTCCTCAATATTAACTTTTTTGCTAAGTATATCTGACAAGTACATTTGTCATTTTTACTTCAAAGAAAAAGGAATCAAAATATTCCCTTTTCTCTACTGATTTGTCTCTGGAACATCTCCAAAGGGGACCAAAATGGCACTCGTGCATTACTCATAATGCATGAATGCCCAAAGCTGAGACTAAAGTAAAAGTCCTGCTATTGCCCACAGAGATACTGCTTGCAAAAGGTTTGCACTGTTGTCCAAGTTTACATCATCTCACAGATCACTTAGGAATCCCGTCACACGAGCTGCACGAGGCAATACCTAGCAAGTGAGAAATTCTCTTCAGCCAGCCAATTCCACACTAGAAAGCCACAAGTATGCCAACAATTCATGGTGTAAAGAAGATTGACCTCCTGGCTAAAATAAAAACACATCTATATTTGGTATTAAACTACAAGAAAATGCAAAAGAATGTGCTTTTGCTTTGTGTTGTTTTGTTTTTTTAATCTGTAATATGTGTAATACAGACAAGCATAGCCTGAATTCAATGTGTCTTTGACAGTAATGGCATGCAATTTTGGGCCTGAACCAATTGTGAAATTCTAGGTCAATACTGATATGTAAATAAAAAAGGGTATAGATGATTTTTTTTGTATTCCCCATTTTGTGCAACAGGGGGAAAAATCATTATCAAGAAATAAATTTTTTGAGTTATTTGCTCCTTCACCACATTATAGCTGTTCTCACAAATGAATTCCAGGTTAAGTTAAGTCAGGGCACTGTCCACAATTGCCCTGCTTCCTGTACAGCATAACAGGAGATAATACCAATCAGAAGTGTTCATAAAACTGAAATTACTCACTTTGGTTTAGGTGAGAGCTGCTGCATGGGTAAGCAATTGTCTGTTCTATTCTCAGATGGATGCATTAGACATTACACCGACATTTTACCAGGGCGCTGGCAGGGTAAAAACTGTTAAATGTGCAATTCAGCTGCGTCAACCACTTGTTTTCTCACATACAGCTCCACTGGGTTGTTTTGATAAACGTTCAGGGCTGCAGTACAGGTGTGAAAACAAACAAATTAGGGACAAGGGATCCAAGAAATCAAGACTAGAACATTATTAGGACACAGCAAATATCAGCCACTGCAATAGTTGAAGGTCATTTAAAATTAATAAGCTGATGGCAGTCGGCAAAGCAAATACTGCCTAATATATTGGTACATCACTGTGTAATACCTTTGACCTTATCCAACCAGATGTGGTTGGATAAGGTCAAAGGTATTACACATTACAAAGGTGAGGTGTGGGGGGGCTGGAGCCTATTCCAGCTGAAACTGGGCAGGAAGCAAAGAACAGTCTGGAGAGGGCACCAGTCTATTACCCATGCTAACACATTCCAAACCTTCAACCAATTTAGAATTACACATTCATCTCTGGTGCATGTCCTTGGACAGTGGAAAAAAAAAAACCCTGAGCCCAAAGATGTGCACGTTAGGCAACAAGCATGTCAAAACCCAAAACCTTCCTTCTGTGAGGCAACAATGGTTAGCACTGTAACGGGGTTGAGTCTATTGTATTATTAAGTAAAGCAATAGAATTTTCATACTCCATTTCTTTCCGCTCCGCTTCCTCCTGACTGATGTCTTCCTCAACACTATAGTCCAGGACAGAGCCAACGCCGTAGGAGTGGTTCTTCTGAATCAGTGGCTTGATGTCATTGTGGTCCTCACCAGCCACAAACTGACCATAAAATGTCATCTTCATGAACTGGTCAAAGGTTTTCTGGCCTAGAATCTTCTTAGCCAGATCCATTACCTGGGCAAAGAGGGAAGGACATTACATACATTACATTTCTGATTAGTAATTCTAATATGTTTTGGGCTTTCATCATGTCTTTTACATCATCCCCATTGATTATGTAAATATGTGTGCCATGCTGGATGTGTTTTAATGCACTCTACTCCCATGTATATAACACATTTGCTTAAAAGTCTTAGATGAATGGAAACTTCCTTGTGCCCTGATAGATTTATACAGCAGCCTGTATGCTAACAGTACACTACAATAACAGGACAGCTGAGGTTATGTAACATGGACTGGATAGCTGAAAAACAGGTTGCAACTTGAGAGGTGTGCATTGCATTTAAGGGTGGAGCGGAAACTGTTAGGCCTGTCTTCATATGAGAACATATATAGCCTACAGTGCATTACTTTACATACAGCCTATGGTTCAGATTTGATCAGCTGACAGAACTTTTGTTTACCTTCAACGCTACTTATTGCTGACATAAATGGGAATATTCCCATATTGTTTGAAAAGAAATTGTCAACATCACTGTCAATGCTATATCTATTAGTAAAAAATAACATAGTAGCAATTAAATTGTATTATATAGTATATGATATAATATTGTATTATACTATACAATTTATCGTCCAGTGACTTGCTTACACCTGTTTTCTTTGATTGTGACATCTCATTTGCTTGTTATGCGAACGTTTCACATAGAATTCAGTATTTATGCTCAACTTTATTTTTAAAAAACTGTAATTAGAAAGTGATCTGAACACCTAAAGGCACATTAACAAACAGACTTCGTGTTAAATTGCCGGGCTGCGCGGTGAGATAGCGCCTCATTACCTCTTTGTTCTTATCAACCAGGAAGTCATATGAACAAAGTTTGAAAACCACCAAACTTCTGAGAAGCTCTAATGAGTCTTTGCTCTTGTAAGCCTCCCGGGTCTGCTCAAAGTCTACGGAGATCTCATTAGCAGCGGCGGCGGCGGCGGTGCCTTCTCTCCTTCTCCCTCCTCTCCCAGACAGTCCGGGACACTCTGACCCGCCGCGGATTCTGACACCGTCATGCTCCGTCTGGGCCGTCGAACTGGAGGTCACGGTGCAACGTACTGCTCGGTTTAAGACTAACCGTTTAAAGTGGATGTCCGCCCTCGCCCGTTTGAGGGCTGGCACGGTTTTGACGTAAAACATCAGCGGATAGCTGGCCCGGGTATCAGCGCTGAGGTGAAGCTAGCACACCAATAGTGTTTGCTAGCTGCGCGTGCCCAACTGTAAACAAACTCGGGCCCGAACGGGCACATTATCATCACTTGGTTGGTGGTTTGAGACGGTGACGCACTCACGGCTTCCTTCCCGAAGTTTCCCGCATCTCTCCACCAGCGCGTTTTTTTTTCTTCTTTTTTTTGTGAGCACGTTGCGTTGTTGTGGGTATTTTTTTAATTGGCAATGCTGTCAACTTCCGCAGAAAACACGAATTACCATGACGTGTAGAGGTACAAAAAAAATGCTTGTATTACATTCCACTTCACATTAGGTATTTTCCTAATAAACATTTTGTTTACTATGTTAGACTCAAGGATTAAATGGCAATTTCTTAGGATATAACTTAAAACATTAAAATAAGCTATATTGGTATTTCTTCAGCTTCTGCAGTTGAATTTGCCATCACTTTGGTATAGCTACATATATCGCTTCGGCCTCCTTCCTCTGCTTGTTCTCAACTACTACGTCCGGTATCTGGAAGTCACACAGGTCATTCTTATCCAACCTTGGGGGCGTATCCCATTTTGACCTCGGGACTTTCAAGGCCATACACTGCGCAGATGAACTATGTTAGCTACTTGGTTATGTAGTTGCATGTATGCACTGTCTGCTAGCATCGTGCAACAACACCGTCTGCATACATAGATAAATAGTACCCATATGTTATTATCCAAATTATATTAAAAAATTATGCTTTATTATGAAATGGGCGCATTGCACGATCATGATCATGTCAGACCTTTACTCAAGTTTTCTTGAAACTTTGTTTTATCACCTGTAAATTTGTATCCATTTGGGCGTTTCCATCCTTTCAGCAGTGGTTGTTTTCCGTTTTTCGACGAAGCAATATGTTGTAAATGTGTAGGACACAACTTAGTCAAAATTAGGTTCACAGAAGACACTGCTATATAGACAAGAATGTGAAATGCGTATAGTGCTGCAGTTTGTTAAAATGAATTCATGGATACAAAATCACTCATACAAAAGTGATATGTTCAACTTACGTGCGACGCACTTAGAGGATTTAATGCAGGGTACTGTCTATCAGCATCACTACGTTCATGTTGACAGATGGGGGAGCTATTGTCTCAGTTGTGGGTAATACACTGCTGCCCCCTGAAGCCGCCACACAAAGGCTCACACAATAATAATAAAAAAAACCCAACTACTTTAAAATACGGTTTGGTTGAAATGCGTAGTCTTCTATAAATTATACTTAAAAATCTGATAAGTCAACGTCTAAGATGATCTATGTACATAACTTTTGTTAATAAATATAATATTTCCACTAAATGTCATCAATATAGGTAATTACCTCTACTGTTTGTTAAAATCTAAGAACGGAGCACAATACATTTTTTCTTTATTTCTTTTTAACCCTTTTCCTTCAATCAGACCCTGTTGCGCACAGGCTTATGTAAATTTGGTGGCTCACGCATGGCGCACTGAGCCAAAGATAGAGTAACAAATCAGGAATTTCCCTTCTGCCACTCCTGAGAGCGCAAGAGAGGACCAAAGTTAAGGATTAAGCGCGTCTCATTCGAGAGGAACAAAAGCGACATAGTGACACTCTGCTTTATTTTAATTTTATTTTTTTGTAAAGATTATCAACAGTCTACACATTCCCAGAAGCTCCGAGGACACATTTTGGCAAGAGAAAAAATATTTGATTCATTTTGAATCTGGAGGCATGTGGCTTATGACCTCTTTCAAGGAATAAGTAACGCAACAGGAGAAAAGACGTTCACTAAGACTACTGCGATTGCAACTTTGGCTTTATGACTTTTTCTCCTTTGCGGTTGGAGCTGCCGTCGCTGGTCAGTTTTGGAAAGTTTCTCGATGGCGTAGGTGGTGGCGAGACTTTTTAAAACACCTTAAGGATTTATTAGCCTATTTAAAAGGGATGCGCATTCGTTTTATGTGCATTAAAGAAACTGGAGTGTGCAAAGAACACTGAAACCCAGCCGTCGTAACTTTTGGTATGAGGGTAATGCGGCGTAAATACGGCGTCTAGAAGGATGATGCTGCTTGTACAATGGAAGTAAAGAACTCTTTTACTTTTCTTGCGTTGGTTTGTCTTTTCTTCTGCTCCGGTTTCAGCCAAGAACTCAACCCCAAAGGCAGGAATGTGTGCAAAGTACCCGGGTAAGCATGCAGGGGGGAAATGGGAGCTATTCGATTTGTTGTTACTGCAAACCAGCTTGTACAATAAGATTTGCAATAAGATGACATTTTTTTTGCTTCTTATTCTCCGTTTTTGGGGGGATGGGAACTTCCTTCAAAAAAGTTCCGCTAGAGTTGGGAAATAAGTAGTTATTCAAAGTGTTTTTTATTTATTGTTTTGTGGAAAAATGCGTAACTTTATAAATTTGACGTTTCCATTGGTGGCCTTGTGCGTAAATAGTGGTCCTCCAAAGTCGTATTTTGTGAAGCCATCCGCCGTCTTTAGTATTTAAAAGATACGTATTTTAGGTCAGGAGATCTTAGAAACACTTTGTTTTTTATGCATTATGTCACGTCAACCCACCACCCCCTCTCCCTTACATATAACGCGCTCCCTGTTCAGTGTAGCCATAGCAAGATAGCAAGAGGAGGAGTCCACTGAAGAAAAGCATAGCTATACAGATGTGTGTGCTACATCTGGAACCGAAATGTTTTTGTTGCTCTGAAGAGGGCGCTCTTACAGACCCTTACAGCACTCGTGGCACTATTTAATAGTGTGGTTGATAATGCACTTTTAAGAACCAGATTTTGGAGGAGTTAATGAAACGCAAAACTGATAGGATTTAGGTTAAAATCCTGTCATAAAAGCAAAAGTAAGTGATCCTAAAGGCATTTCTTGGTGATCTCCTGAGCCTTTCAGTAACTTGTGTAAAAGAAAAACATCCAAGCCCATAATTGCTGACTGTAGTATCCAAGCTCGAACTGATGTTTTGAATTTTGTAAATTGTGGTAGGCCAGAAACAGCAAATGTAATCCAGGGATCATTTTCCAGTATGTTCTAAACAATGTGTGATAAGTAACCATATACTTGTAGCTGATTACTTTAGGATGGATGAGCTTAAAAGTTATCACTTACTTTTTTTATGTTGAAAATGTTATCGGACCAAAAATAGCTTATTTGAAAAAAGAGAGCGAGAGAGGGGGGAAATAGCTTATCTGAAAAGCCACACACTGTATTTTCCTGTGCACTCAGATAGAAAGTCATCAGCAGCTGCTCTTCAAAAGCTAAAGTTGTGCTGTCATCTTGCCTCACTGGGCAAAACGTTGTCATTTGCCAGAAAGGAAATTCTGTTCTAGAGTATTGTTATGCTCTATGAAGTTTTCAGCATGCTGTACATGACCTCTATTGCTCTACAAGGTTGATATTGTGCCCCTCTTTGCACTTTTCAACATTCATGACACTGAACTCACCATTAAATTGTCTTTTTTCCCCCCCCCCACTATTCATTTATTGTTCTATTTTTATAGCCCTGAATCATATGAACAGAGGGAAGTAGTTCATTATTTATCACAACTAGTCAGCATTCCAATATGTCTCCTCATAGTGGAAAATCAACTGCTGAATCTGGCTTTAATGGCAATACATCCTAAAATCATTTGCCGGTGCCCTCAATAGTCATTGTTTTCTAGCTTCAAGTGTTCCTAACAGTGTTTTGAGAATGCAAAAAGTTGCTGGCTTTGTGGTGTTTTCAGCACTAATGCAGAAATCTTCTTTTCAAATCAGTGAAAAAGCAGCAATTGAGGTCATCTGTGAAAGTAGTCCGTGCATTCTTTCTGTGGTAATGAAAAGCACACAGCATGTAAAGACCAAATTAATTCCATTAAACAGTGAAGGTAATTTCTCTTTCTGCATTCTGGCATGGATTGGATTAATGTTAATGGTTAACAAAGGGTCAATTATAAAGGGTTGATTGCAGTTTGTCCAAATTTGGTGTGGCACACTTGAAAAACAAAACACAAAACAAACAAACAAACAAAAAATCTAAACAAAACTGTATGAAAAAGAAAAAAAGAGATTCTTTGGAAAATTTCCTTTCATACAAGTCAAGTAATTCAAAGGTTTGACCAATGATCTTGAACACGTGCCGGTTTTGGCAGGATAATAGAATTGTGCTACTCCCTTCCCATCAACTGAACACAAACTGCCTTCTTCAAACAATTTAGGGCAAGCTGACGTGTTGCAGGGGCCCCACAGAGGTCACCGGCATGGGAGGAAGAGGACATGCAGCCGTTCTTTCCTGTTAGGCCCAATACTTGTCTGCAAAACTTTGCCTCTGAATATTCACACTCCATCACAGGCTGGGGGAGGCAGAAAAGCCTGTAGAGCTTCAGGAGCTAGTAGCTTTTGAGTGTATGTGTCTTGTAGAAATTGGAATGAACCATATTGAGGTAATTATACAACAATGTGCTAAGCATATGTGTAATGCATATGCTTAGCACATTCTGCTTGCATTTGCAGAATTTGGCAACAGCTGCATCAGTAAGAAGCACAAAGCCAAAGAAGCAGGAACTTCGTGTGAATGTTGTCACTTGAAATATATTTGTTTTGCTTTATTTTAATCAAGTGCTTCATCTTTCCCCCCTTTCATTCTGTACCTTTTCCCCCCAGATCATCAACACCAGTGTGCTGCAGTGGATGGGGGCAGCTAGGAACTGAATGTCTGACACGTATGTACCACACTTAGAGCTAACATTTGGCAGTATGTCATATGGCTCATTGTGCACACCAATAGAATAATATGGCCTATACTTTTCACCTCAGCCCTCTGTGAAGGCAACTTCACCTGCAAGGACAATGAGGTGTGTGTCAGGCCAAATGAATGCCGCTGTCGTCATGGATACTTTGGAGCTAGCTGTAACACCAGTAAGAATTTTTTTCTCACTTCATTTTTCATTTTGTGTCATTCCTGGTATTAAGCAAATACATTTTACATGTTAAATATAAATGTTCCAGTATAGTGCTCTCGGCAGTCAGTTTTTCAACATATTGCTTATTGACACAACAAATATCTTAAAAAGTTGGCAAAGGCTAGTCCAAAAAAACAGGTATTCAGAATTCATGTACCTTCAAGATTTTGGATGATGACCAAATGACCAAATACATGTATAATAAATGGCATTCTTTATGCATCAGCTAGTTCTTATATTTCTCTCAAATTAGTTATCATAACATGCTTTTACACAAAGTTCCAATGTCAGTGTTTGTAGCTCAAAGCACTACTGCGCCTAAGTACAACCTTCCAGTTTTACTAGTATTTGTAGTCTTAGACTCTGTAAGAACTTTTCCTGATTACATTGTCTTTTAACAGAATGCCCTGCAGAGTACTGGGGACCAGACTGCAAGGGAGAATGTCACTGTTACCCCAATGGCCAGTGCGATGATTTGACCGGCGAGTGCACCTGCAACCACAATCGCTGGGGACCTAAATGCGAGAATGTTTGTCTTTGCCAGAAGGGCAAGTGTGACCAAGAAACAGGAAAATGCACATGCTATCCTGGCTTCTGGGGTCCTCAGTGCAACAACAACTGCTACTGCAGCATCAATTCAATCTGTGATGTGATGACAGGGCGATGCTTGTGCAACCCTGGCTGGACTGGGAGGAACTGTGCACTCCAGTGTAACTGTAACAATTCACCATGCGACCAGTTCTCGGGACGCTGCCAGTGCAGGGAGAGGCTTTGGGGTCCACGCTGTGAGCGAAACTGCCAGTGCCTCTATGGCAAGTGTAACCAGGCTGATGGTTCATGTACCTGTCTGCCTGGGTACCGTGGGAAGTTCTGCAGGGAGCCATGTCCTGCTGGATTTTATGGTCAAAACTGCAGGATCAGGTGGGATTTTTTTTTTTTTTTTAAGTAGGCAGAAAGCAGTGTACCATTATTTAAACAGGAAATTCTGAGCTTTTCAGATGCATAATGTTGAGTTTCCATGCCTGGTCCATGTGATATTGCAGGTCTGTGGGTTTTAGAGGATTTAATATCTAAAATCTTAAATCTAAACATGTCTAATTTAATGGAACAATGCTCAAGCGAGATTCAATGGAAATTGGTATTCAGGAGGTAATGGTATTCACATTGTCCCACAATCATTGTCACAACACAAGAAACGTGCAGTACAATTGCTTCAAGTACTGCTATGGTTCAGTGTTTATCGCCTTCAAGTGATTAGAGCAAGAATCTAAAGCAAACTAATACAGCTGGTTTCATGAAGATTTTGATCACTGAGCTGTCTCATTACATTTAGATAAGAGGAGACAAAAAAAAACTCTGTGTTTCATTGGCTGCCACCAGGTGTGGGCACTGCAAAGGCCAGCAGCCCTGTAAAGTGACAGGAGGAAGCTGTATTACATGTGAGAGAGGATGGAATGGGACTCGGTGTGATCAGGTCTGCGCCAAGGGCTTTTTTGGTGAAAACTGCCAGGAAGTGTGTCCTACGTGTAAAGATGGTCACCACTGTGAGCCCATCTATGGCAAGTGTTCGCACTGTAACCCTGGCTGGATTGGGGACAGGTAAAAAAAAGCAAACGCACACACACGCACGTGCGCACATGCAAATGTGTAAAGAAAAGAGCATGCTGTTTTGTTGTTTAGTATTCCTTTTAAATATTTAACTACTAGCTATTACGAGACTATTTCTGGCACTGTGGTAATGACCATGACTCATACTTCTAAGTTTTAAAATTACATTATGTGTAATCAAGACATTCTTTCTGTGTGTGATAGGTGTGAGGTGCGCTGCCCCAATGGCACATATGGCGAGAACTGTGAAAACAACTGCAGTCATTGTTTTAATGGCATCTGTCATGTTGTTACCGGAGAGTGCCTCTGTGACCCCGGGTTTTATGGCACATAGTAAGTTAAACGACACCTCAAAGATAAAAACAGCCTTGTTTATACCCTTGACAGCTGTACAGTATGCAGTGGCAAAGGGTTGAACGTGGTGATATGATGTTTGTAGCACATTTATATATCTGGGGACTTAAAAGGTTGAGTTTGTGTTTTGATGCATGTGTTTAAACGAATGAAATAAAATTTAGGAACAAAAAAAGCAAAATTCTCTCAAACACAGCAGAAACGATTGGGATATGGAGCTAATCCCAGTTATCCCCTTCTTTCTTCTTTTGTTCCATGTAACATACTGGTTACTCAGACACAACATTAAGCAGATGTTTTCTGTCTCTTCTCTGTTGTCAAGCTGCAATATGACCTGTCCAACTGGCCAGTATGGAATCAACTGTAACCAGACATGCTCTTGCCATGACAAGAACTGTGATCCTGTGTCTGGTGCCTGCTATCTCCGTAAGAAAATCTTTATTTTTACTTTTAGTTTTTTATGAGCTAACTGATGTGTTGCGGTTAGCGAGTATGTCAGAAACTAGTGGGGCTTTTTTATTCTCCTAACTTGAACAGATATTTCTTACTTTATACTGTACACACCAAAAGAATTCAAATGCTCTGAACTGTTTATTTGTACATTACATGCCAGCAATACTGCCTGCATATTAAATTTCTAATAGTTGGCTGTATATGCTGAGTAGCAACAAATACATCTATTTAGGTCAGTGTGTGTAGTGGGACACCAAAGGGCCTTGATTGTGTTTCCAGACCTAGACCGGTGTCCTTTTTATGGCTGTGTTTGTTGGCTCTGTTCCTGTCCAGCCGCAGAAGAGAGAAAGGAAGGAAGAAAAAAAGAAAGGGATAGAGGAAAGGAAAGAAAAATGAGAAACTGGAATGGATACAGAGAATAGAGAAAAAATACTGTTTGGAAAGAGATTATTGGAGGCAGACGTGGAGAATATCACACACAAAGACTGCATGAATTTTGGCTAGTGAACATGATGGGTGGTGGCAAGTTGGTCAGTGATAAACTAACCCTTTGCTACTTTTACCTCAACTCCATTCCAAATTGAGGGTGACAACATGTCAAGGACAGACCACCCAACAACCAGAGACGTATGTGACAGCGTAAAACCCGAGGCTCATTGCTTTTTTACTCCTATGTGTTACTTCTCTTCTGGTGCTTGTCTCTCTTTCCCAATACTAAATGGTGCCCATAACTGTACAATACACCACTGATTGTCTTTGGGGTGTATCAAACTTCAAGTGGGAG